GTTATGCCATGAAAGGTCTGAGGAAAGGAGACTAATTGGGAGTCTGAGAGTGAAATTTCCTTACCCTGAGGGGAAGGTTTGCCTTATTTCTCCCCCTCTCCTTTTACATATTTGAATATAGTGCTCTGCATCACTTGGGTTGAGACCAGGAGAAGGAATGATAAGTGCTATTCCTAAAAATTTTCTACTTTAAAAAATGCTGCAACTTCATGCTGGGCATGGTGGACTAAGGATGTCTTCACAACACTCACCAGGCCAAAACAGGGAAATTGAAAGTTCAAGGCCAGCCCAGGCTATCTAGTGAGACCCTGTCTCAAAACACACAAGTAAGCAAACAAAATAGAACACTAAAATTTCAATAGGATCTCTCCACACTTCTGATCTAAGCTTATACAGGTTATTGGAAAAGATTTCAGAAGGTCTAGTTACCATTTCACTCAGTAAACTAGAGAAGGTATCATCACAGTGATGTGTTTACCACATGGAGAACCCAATCACCTATTTTATGGCTTCAAGTTATCTTCCTGCCACATCACCTTCTCTTCCTTATGTATACCACATATATCTATACTCTTACAAAAGACCTTTGCTTTGCTATTATGTATCCGTGATCATTCTTTTTCTTCTTCACATGAGATACTCATGCCCAATCTCAGGAACCTCTTTTTCCTTCAAGCCTCCAGCACACAACCTCTGCTAATATATTCCCATTGTGGTTTCTGTTCTCACTATCATTGCCTACTACAATCATATGCTATCACTTGTTTTTGAATCCAAGAAAATTTTATAGTGTTTTTTGAAAATTATTAATTAATCATGACAATTAAATCTGAGATTTAAGTTTAAGTTGACTCTATTAGTTTTTTGATGCCTGAAAATAAGTCCTGCTTCAAATAAGGAGACTAGCCCCCTATCTGAAATCATTTTATTGGTGTAAACTTCCTGTTTAAATAGAAAATTCATTGTAAACAGAAGAAAATGTTATTCATGTCATCACACTTTACAGGGCCTACCAGTGTATGGTATTTTGTCAAGATGTACTGAATGTAAGGCTGAAGGGAACATGGAGTGAGGCTGAAATTTGCTGGTTCACAGTGCCAACACTCAATAAATGTTCATTGAACACTGACAAAAAATGGAGTATTTGAAAGTTACTTTGCCTGGTATTCTCAGCAGCCTAGGTATAATCATATGCTACAATAGATTTGTAGAGATAAGAGATACTTAAGAATAACTGGAATATCAACTTGAGGGTGTATACTTATGAGTCTCAATAAGAAATGAAAAAAGAAAACTACATACAGATTGACAAGTAGCAATAAGAGGCTTGCTACATTCAACTGCATGAATCTATAACAGGCTAGGTACAAGAGATTCTGTACAACACAAATGAAGTGTTTAGCTTATAAATATGAAAGGAAGCAAATTTTTATTAGAAACAAATTAAGCATCCATTTCCTATGTACCTAAGGAATTATATAACATTCAAGTTATATTTGCTCCTGCCATTAGGATAATCATAAAAATTAATCAAATTTTCTCTGTTAAGACTCTCACTATGCTTCTGATCTGAACTTATATAGGCTATGAGTAGTGAAGGAGAAGACTTAGGAATAAGGTCTAATTTACATTTCACTCTATTTCTTTATTATCAATTATAATTTAAACAAAAAATTAAAGATACTATCACATTGCACGGGAACTTTTTTTTTCAAGTTGGCAGGTGTGATATGGGCATATTCAACTGAGTTATGTTTTATTCTTGGAATTAAACAAAATTACCCATCCTTTCCTCAGTCCTAATATGTAACTGCATGAGTCTATGAGCTTACAGTGGTTGGCAAGAGGATACATGGGAGAATTTAAACCAACTCAAGACTGTGATAGACTTCTACCTATTCTCATTTTTTTATTCTCCTTATGATAGTTCTACTCTTTAAGTCATCATCATAATTTTATCCTGAAACTGTTAAAATTTTTATTGTATGTTTTACAGTTTGGTTTATTACATTATATAATGTCTAACAATTTATGTAACTTGATACATTCAATACCTACATATGTACATATATGCACACATACATACATTATACATAATATAATCCTTGGAATCTAGAGAAAACTAATTTCCATATGTGTCAACATGCTGACAAAGTGATATATTTAAAATACCTGACTTAGTTTCCTTACTTACTTAATGAAAGACATGATATACTGTAGGTTTGATGTGAGATTTTAAATAAGGAGTGAAGGATCCACTGGTGAATTTTGAGCAAAGAAATGATACAACTGCTTATATTCCAAGATCATCATTCTTCTACTTAAAGAACTGATACCAGGAATGCAAGGATAGAAAATAGTGACCCACAACTCAGAAATCCTGGCAAGAGATGATGATGATGTCTCAGGTTTGGCTGACAATAATGAAAAATCTGAGAAGTAAGAAGAATGTGAATCTATTTTGAAATCAAAGCAATAGAATTTTACCTTATGTGAGATAGATATAGGGTGCACGAGGGAGGCACCAAGTGTTTTACTCTGAGTAAACAGAACAACAGAATTGTCATCAACAAATGGAAAAGTTAGAATTGCAGAGAAAGGTTCACTTTGTGGACATGTGAAGGCTAAAATATGTTTTAGATCCAATTACAAACCACCTCCAACTTACAGGTTTAAACCATCATTTTTGCTCATAAACTTCCAGTCTGAGCAGAGTTGTATAGGAGTGACTCATCACTTCTTCCTGAGACTTGTGGTGACATGGAGACTGGAGCGACAGCACAGCTGGGGGCTGGAATTATTGGAAAGTTTTCTCACTCAGCCGGTCTGGCTGTAGGTGCTGGCTGTCAGCTGGGGCTTCATCTAAAGTTATTAGATCAAAAATCTACCTGTGGTTTCTTTATGGGGCTGCTTAGATTCCTCACAGCAGAGTGGCTTGCTTCTAAAAGCATCTCAAAGGAAGAAAATAAAAATTTTATCTCCATTTAAGTTGTAGTAGTCTCAGAAGTTAACATGTATCACTTATACCAGAAGTAGATTCAAGGGTATGGACAAAGGGCTCTACCTCATCCTTTTAGAAAAATGTCAGTCACATAAAAAGGACATATGTGTGTAATGTCATATCTTAATTTAATTATCATGGAAAATATAATCTGCCACACTTGTCCAAATGAAAATGTTGATGACATAGTTGATTTAAAACTCAGGATGGGATATTGTGGCTTACCATGGAATCCCAGCTTCTTGAGACACAGATTTTGGAAGGATCACTGTTCAAGGACATTGCAGACAAAAAGTTAGCATTACCTCCATCTCAACTAACAAGATGTGCATGGTAGCACACTTCTATAATTTCAGCTATGCAGGAAGTCATACGTAAGATGATAGTGGTCCAAAGCTCACCTTAGACAAAAAAGTGCAAGACCCTATCCAAAAAATAAGTAACACCAAAGAAGGCCTAGTGGTATGGCTCAAGCAATATAGCATCTGCCCAGGAATTCACAAATCTCAGTACTGCAAAAAAAAAAATCTAGAATTAAGGTAAGGTATGGTCAGAGTATGTATTGATGATAGAATCTTACACATTTAGATGAGATGAGACTAATAAAGAGAAACCAGATGCAGCAACACCTGAGCCCTTGAGAACTCAAAAGTTAAGAGGTCAAAGAGGAAAGGAAGAAGGAACAAATGAGAGGGAGCTAGGCTAACCACTGAAAGAAAGAGCATCAAGAGAGTCAATTTTCTTCTGCCTTATTGTTCTCTCTGAATACCATTCGCTCAAGAGTTTGTTCAGACTTCCAGTGTGCATTGCTGAGTCTGAGGCATTTCCCCTACTCAGGAAATGCATTGTCACTTGTGCTCTCTTCCCTGTGGCTATTGGCTTATCTTAGGGTGGGCATGTAACCTTCTCCAGGTGAAAGAGAAATAAAGGGATTATTACAAATGTTTTCCCCACCCCAAATGAAACCTAGCAAGGAAAAGATGTTCTATGCTATCCTCCTTGTTTTAACGCAGATGTGCTGACATATATAAATATATATTTTGTGAATGGAAGAAAATTTTTTTAAAAAAATTGAAATATCAAGAGAAGTCCTAAATAGATTGATTGAGAAAGCACAGAAAGTAGCAGGATTTTGAAGTGGAAAATTTACATGGGCCCTGAATAAGAATGATCAGAAAACAAATTTTGAACTTCATTCAAAAGGTAATGGGAATTCCGTCAAAGGTTTTACATAAGCAGGTTTTATTTAAAAACAATTGCTCTGGCCTTTGGTGAGGTCAGATCAAATAGAAGCTCCTGAAGTGGCTGTAGATAGTAAGGGAACAGCAGATTCAGTTAGGGGAAAGGCAGTGAAAACAGACCATGGAAGTTGATAGTAGAGTTAGTTAGAAGAAATAAAAAACTACCAAACTTGGTAGTAGATTAGACTCATTTCAAATTTATGATGTACAGTTTGGGGTCCTGTGAAGCTTCCAAATGGAAACCCAAGAAGACAGGTACATATAGTCATCTAGAACTCAAAGAAAAAAAGAGAACAGGAAAGAAAAGAACAAAGAAGGTAAACAAAAAAAGCTTTGATGAACATGTTTGCTTGATAATCAAGAGACACATATATGGAAATTCAAGTTTTGGAAATACCTGAGAACTAGGTTGATATTAAAAGGCTATTTCATTCATTTAACAAATAATTTAATGACTTATATAAGCAATCCTAGGGCAAAATTTAGAATTGAGAATCTAGAAATACATTGATGTTTTTATTTGGATTTACAAACAAGTAAAAGAACTTCATAATGAGTATGACTTCTTCAAATATGTATAAAAATACATGAGTGAAATGAAAATAAACTTTTCTTTCTGCTTAACATATATTTTGAAGTTTGTTTCAGACATTATATCTAAAATGAAATATTAATATAGTTTTCTGGAGATTTTTTTCCTAAAGAACTTAATAAAACACATACAATTCTCAGAAGATAGGTGTAAATCTTACAATTACCCTTTCTCTGGGTGCACAGCTATAGATCTTGGTTGATCCAGGCCTTGGGAAATAATTACATAACGAAAAGAGCCATTGAGTCTTGCAACTTCAATTAAGTTGAAACCATGATCTGTCCAATATATATTACCTAGGAGAAACACAGAAATGTTTACAATGGAGCTGTGACAAAAAAATTACAATTAAATTTCTGAGCATTCATATAACTATTAAGAAATTTTTCCCTTTGTATATTCTTTTACAATGTACTTCCTAAGCAGAAAACTGTAAATATACTAATACATAAAATCATCCAAGCTTAATCTCATGTATTTCTGGCGTAAACCATATAATTATATATATGTTAAAAGTAAGCTGAAACTTTCCCCACTCATTGAAGGGATCTATTTTAACTTTCTATTGACTTTGGGCAAAAGAAAACTTTTAAAATTTTATGTGTTTTGTTTACCTGTCTTATGGAGCTCTCAGGAGATTTGGGCAAAGTTAACAACACATAATCTATCTCTACATAAAAATACTTATCCAAAGACCCAAAAGCATTAGAAAGAGTGAAGCCAAAAGCAAAAAAGACTATTTACCCCCTTGGCTAGAATTTTTTTTTTTTTAATGTTATAAAACAGAACCAGAATTTTTATGAAACAGATTGAGTCCCTAACAATATAGCTGTGAAACAAAAACAAAAAGAAAGAGAAAGCTGTAGATTATACCAGCAATCCAGTCAATCGCTATCCCTTCTACTCTTCCCAAGCCATTGGTAATGATATCTTCTTTCCATGTCTGATCTCTTTTAGCTCGGCTGATTTTATTGAAGCCCATGTCCGTCCAATAGATGGTATCATTTTCTATGGTTAAGAACAGAAAACACATACACACATACTGTAAAAGATATTGATATATGTATTAGGATCACATAGCCTTAATATTTTGGAATGGGGTTCTCATCCTGAGTATACTAGAATATAACTTCTTCAAGATAATTTGCAAATAAAAATAGGAAGAAAAGTATTAAAATGATATGAAAGAACTTATATGTCAGTCAAATTATTTTTAAAAGTACATTTCTCGAAATGATCTATCACATTTTTATTTTTCTTCATTCTGCTATTCATTTTAAGTCAATAAATTCTTATACCCCATGAATTTGCAAACATGATGTTAAATCATGTCATTTTGGACCACATTTTTTTCTCTTATTCCTTCATTTAATGCCTCTAATATATAGAAATACTACTACTGAGGATAAACAACTCAACAAAACCTCAAAGTACAGACAATGTAAAGAAACAAAAAGGCATTTCAACTTCTTGACGGTATTTTAACTAGAAGGTCATTCCAAATGCATAAAGCCTGACAATGTCTTATCCAATTATTTCTTTTGAGGCACTAAATAGTTTCCCAAATGTCAACTGCAAGCCCCTTACATTATTTTTTAAACTCTTGTACTAATGGGCTTAAGAATACTTGAAGAATTGCCCTATGCCATCATTGAGCATTTAAATAACAGTGCTTTTTGAATATTTGAATGAAAAAATGTGCTTAAAGACTATAAATGAAATAGTACATGTATGTGCAGATGCATAATGAGTGGTAAATATATACCAATGATTTTTAAGTACAGGTAGTGACTGGAAAGACACTGGGGGTGAATTATTATATAATTAACTAGCCACCAGCTAAATAAGTTTTTTCTGTTGTGACCTACATGGTCGTTCAAAGAACAAATCCTTTAAAACCAATATAATTCCCCTGTGGCACAGCAACAGACTCCCAAAATAAAGAAAATGTAATTAATATAATAAAAACATTTATCAGTAGGTTTGGGAATTCCATTTCAAATGAAATACAGTCTGAATCCTTCAACCTGTTTGGGGAAAGATACCAAATAGCTATGTTCTTAACAGCAATAACATCAAATACATAATTGTTTATGCAGAGGAGATATAATATCCCAATATATGCCCGGAAAGAAAAGATTTGTCTAATTTTCTAATTAGTACACAAATTTTCATTATTGAAATAGAGACTCAATCAACAAAATAAGCATTATTTTACATAAATATTAAGCATTGTATATTGAGTTCAATTTTCTTCCACAAATATTAAACCCATATATTCATCTGCCTACATTTTTTTCTCCACTTGTCTATAGAAAAAACAATTCTGATATACAAAAGACAAATTCTGGATTTTTTTGGTGGGGAGGCGTTAGTAAGGGTTTGAACTCAGGGCCTTACTAGGTAGATGCTCTACCACTTGAGCCACTTGTCAGCCCTCTTTTGTGCTGGGTTTTTTCGAGGTTGGGTTTTGGGAACTATTTGCCTCAGGGTGTTTGGAACCAAGATCCTCCTGATCTCTGCCTCCTTAGTAGCTAGGATTATAGGCATGAGCCATGGAAGCCCATCTAAATTCTGGCTGGATTTCCTACTAGGAGCATAATTCTCTTGCAATCCTTTCCATAGTAATCCCCCTTGCTCTGGTGGTCTGCTGGGTAGCATCTTCAGAACTTGTTTCTTTGGTGAAACACTTTGTGATTGTCTTCAGTCACTTTTTCTCATGCTCCACATCCAACTCATCATCAAATACTCTCATATTTGATCCATTTCCAAGAAGTCTAGGTTCTGTTTATTTTTCTTTAAAGCATAGTCATTATCCAACTACCTCTCAAACTCTCTACTATTTATATTGAAATCTAAGCCAGAATTAACTTTTTAAGGAAATCTTGCAATAGCCTCCTAACTGGTTTACTCACCTTGTACTTTTGCTCCTGAACCTCCTTTTCTTTTGTCTTTTCTCCATTTAGAGACTATGATTACACTTTTTCAAAAAATAAATAAGATTCTAGGGACCCAGTGGCTCACACCTGTAATCCTAGCTACCTGGGAGATTGGGATTGGGAGGATAGCTCTCTGAGGCCAGTCAAGGTAAAAAGTTTGTGAGATCCCATCTCCAATATAACCAGAGCAAAATGAACTGGAGGTTTTGCTCAGGCAGTAGAGTGCCTAATTTCTGCCCCACTACATTCCAACTCTCCATTTTCCATTACATTCAAGGTATAATTACAATTCCTTTCCATGACCTTCATGATTTACTCATACCCTCTAAACATCTATCTGATATCCTTCTATTCTTTCTTTCACTTATCATCTCTAGTAACACAGACTTTGCTGTTCCTAAGAGAATCTAATTCCTCTTCACTCTAAAGTTCTTTGCTTTTTCTTTCTGTCTGGAATGTTCTTTTCCCATATATATGAACAGATCTGTCTTAGTTCAAACATCCCCTTCTTATTGAAAATTCCCTTGATTATTCTATAAGAATTATTCCTCACCATGCTCTATTCCTCCTTACAATATAGCACATATCACTATCAAACAAACTATTTTATTTTTTCCTTTTCTAAAGTCTGTCTTTTCTCATAGGAATGCATTTCTCTGAAGCTTGGGACTTTACTTTGTTCACTGTTTTATTTCTAACAACTGGAATGGTTCTTGGCATGTAGTACCCTACCATCAAAATTTGGTGAATAAATGAGTAAATGTGATTTGCCATATAAAAAACTGGAAACAAACAAAGGAAGACACAAGTCTTGCCATGAGGTGCTAATAAGCTTTAAGGAGCACAAGGTATGCAGATGGGAAAATAACTGACAAATACATAATAGTGTAAGATGAGAATCATTCAAGTTATACAGATCCATTTTGGGCAGAAATTCAAAGAAGTCAATCCTAACAATCTTCACAGATATAAGAAAAAAAAGGATCCTTGGTTTGTATGTGATTCTTAACTTTTGCATTACTCTCGAAGATCTTTGCCATCTCTGAAAAATTCTACTGTATAATCATGAAGCATTCCTTCACACAAACACTATCTCTTGTGCACGTGTAGCTTTAGTATCATATTGCACTGAAATTATGTTTTTGGTGTTTCTTTACTGAACAAGACTGAATTATTTCATAAGCAGTCACTATGATTGGCTCAACTTTCCTGTGAAATCGTATGTGGAGTAGACAATGTAATACTTAGGTTGCCTCTAAGTGGTCAGGTCCTTCAGACCATAGCACAGAGGAACTGTGAGGATTCCTTTCTATTAGGATTTGGAAATCTGAGAGCAAATCATGCATCTGATGATGCATGAAGAAGGATAAAGAGGATGGAAAACTAAATCACTCATTCATAACTAACCCTCTCTCCTTATCATTTTTTCCATATACATATATTGAATATCTGTACACACACTCTCTAATATATGTGAACACCTATAATGTAAAAACAAATTAGATAAAAATGTCTTAATTAGAATAAGAATCAATATAAAAGATGACAAAATTTTATAATAAATGCTAAATATATGAAACGGATATAGAGGCAGAGATAGGAGGTGAAGAAATGAATACCTTAACTTTGTCTTGAAATTTATTTCAAAATATGAACACTAACTTTAATGACCTCCAGTCAACAGATATGTATACTTATCATACACTAAGAATTTTTGTAGACATAATAACATGTGACCATAGCAGACACTGTTCCTGCAATCATGCAATGTGTTTTCTGGTGGAGAATTTAACATAAACAATCATAAGACATGGTAATTTGGTAATGTGTAATTTAAGCACAGGAATAGCAAATAAAACTTGAAATTTAAGACAATAACAATTGTAATTACCCCCCCCCCAGAGATATAATATTACAAATAGATTCTCTGTCCCCATTTTCAAGGACTACCATGTAGGCATTGGGTACTAACTATTGTACATTGTAATTAAAGTCATATATTGTCATAGTGATATTTGTCTGTGAAGCAAAGGAGAAACCTTTTAAAGAGAAAATTTAAACATTTTTGAGTTGAGAAAAGTTTTCCCTGGGCATTTATGAGCTGAGGGACTAATTAGGAAATGCAAATCTCTTAATGTCCTTTCACATTTAAGGGTCTATTTTATGATGATAAATCCACAAGCTTTACTGACCAGGTTGTGAAGATGTGCTCATTCCATTTTATCATGGGTTTCTGAGTACTGTAAAGGTTAAAGCCATGTTTCTTGACTGAAACTTAATAGTATCCCAGAAAACAATATATGTGAAACAAAACACACAAAAAATTATATGATGTTTAGGTATTGCGTCTTCTATCCCAATGAAATAATAATCAGAACACTAGAAAAACTGTAGAAGAGTTTGAAGAGCCTAGGCCTGGGTTTTATCATTTTTCTGTCACTTACCATGAAACTTTCAGAAAATACTTTGTCCCTCCAGGCCTCATTTGTCATACATAAATATATGTGCATTTGTATGCATATATATATATATATACAAAAAGAAGGTAAATTACAATTTTATTATTATATTATTGTTGTACTGGGGGTGAACTGTGACATTTACAAAAGTATTTATAATGTATGATAGTTGGATTCACCCACTCCATCATTCTCCTTTATTTGCCTTCTCCTCCTCCTTACAATAGTTTCAACAGGCCTCACTGCTCCATTTTCATACATGAGAACATAACATTTCCATCATATTCACCTTTTCTTATGTCTTCCCAAAATCCCACTGGTACCAATCCCCAGATAGGACCTGTTTTTACTTCCCTGCCCTCCTCCGTTTTTGAAAAAAATACTTTTTTTTGTTTAAGATAGTTATACACTTTGACATTTCTATGTATATATTTATTATAACCCAAGTTGGTTCATTCCCTCAGTTTTTCTGTTATTTTAATTCCCTTCTTATGATGATTTCAACAGATTTAAAAATTCTATATTCATTCTTCTTTAAAAAGTACATCAACAGTATTCAAGGATGGTAACATTTAGGTTTTACCTTTAATGCCCCTTCTAAATTTGATCT